GCATTTACTTAAAGCATCAAAACTTGTACCCAAGATGATTGAAATATTGAAATTGTCCTCTGATGGACTCCAATAAGTCTAAAAAATAATTTTGGCCGAATACATGCATTTTAAAATGTATGTTTTGATCAAAAAAGGCTTATAAATATTGACGAATTTTGCTCTATAAACCTTGGTTGTAAATGAATAGCTGTTGACTTGAGAGTATTCAGCTTCGACAGTCACTGGAGTGTCTCTTGTTCATTTTTTTCCCCTCCACCGTGTGCTGACTGTGACCACTGTGTAACTGGGTGGTCCTGAACTGGATGGAAAGTGATAGAAAGTGAGGTAAAGGTGGCAGAGAGGGAGGGGGGTGGAAGGAAATTAGCCTGAGTCACGATGATGATGTGTGTGTGTGTGGACAGATGGTGGGATGATGCCATCAGGGGAGGAGACCGTTGATGTAGTCTGTAGGTCTAATAGGGGAATGAGAGGTTGTCCCACTCTCACACAAACATTGTGTAGTTCTGTGCCGAAAGGATTAGTTCACGCAAAAATTAATTGTCATTTACTCGCGCTCCTGTCATTCCAAACTCCTGATTTTCCATACAGTGGAAGTAACTCCAAAGCATCGTACACTAATTTAAAAAAAAAATTGACTTAAAATTCCAAGTCAACTTGTTTATTTGAATTAATAAATGTAAACTTGTAATGTTTTCTTGATAGACCTCAAAGTATAAGGGTTTATTGAGACGTGGGTTTATTGAAAAAGGTGTTTTGCTCTAGTTAACATTAAAACAAGGTTATGAAATAAAGCTATAACTGCATGCTTGAAGTTTTGTTCTGACTTTTAATAGAAACCAGCAGCAAAAACTCCTTTTTACATATGGAAATGGAAATATGGACAATGTCAAACACCACAACCATACTCCTTAACTATAAAATTAATACGACAACAATCAGTTAAAACAATACCAAAAAAAGCTCAAAGTACTCAAAAGTCCAAGGCAAAGGGAAGGCCGAACTGGTAAGAAACTGCAGATTACAGGCCTGAAGCGTTTATGAAAACCTCGGGTCGTCATTATCTTCAGTTACAATATGAATCCACACTTTCATTCCTGTCTGTCTGTCATCAAGTGTCCTAAAGTAACAAAGAATAAATCAATATCACCTTACATTAACCCATCAAATATATATATTTTTTTAAAGGAATAGATTGTCTTATTCATGCATCAAATGAAAAAAAACATTATTTGTAACATGCCTCCCATCCAATAAATTGCATTAAGCTTTGTTACTTTTTGATATGAAACAAGCTGATTTGAAATTCGGTCACTTATCATGAATTTCAAACAATAAATATAGTACTGGCGCTCTTTAATGTGGCACGACACACACATGAACTGATCATCTCTTCCTCTTTACTACTAGTTATAGCACATTTATATACAGTGCAAATTACTGAAATTGATCATTTATTATCATGTAATCATGTTTGAGCCATGTAAAGACGTTTAAAAAAACAGCTTGAGAACAACTTCCCATTTGAAAGACATAAAGATTTTCAATAGCAACCGGTTTAAGAATGCAATCATACATTTGTTTTTATTTACTCTGTTTTTATGATTTAATTTTATAATCATTAGTCACTTATGTAGTTGACATTTGCTTTATCATTTATCCATATTATTATTATTTGATTTTACATTTATTCATTTAATCATTATTATTGTTATTCATGTAATTGTTTTATTTTATATTACTTGTACTACTTATTTCCTTGCTCTTGCAATGCTTATTGTTTATGATCTTATCTTATGATTGTGTGGTTTGAAAGAATGTTTGTCTTCACGAGTTGGAGATAAAATAATGTCTCCATTTCAAGGTTTTTAACGTCACCGGACGATGTTTTGAAGCAGTAATTTTCCATTGTTTCTCACTGCTTCTGCTCTTCCTCGGCTCTCTCAGTCAAACTCTTGATTCAAAGAGTCAAACTCTTGATCTTGAGGCTGATAGAAGACTTATATCTTCTTCTGGCAGGGATTCGGCGCCCCTTGGTCGAATATATTTAATATTTCTGACATCCATCCGATCTAACATTTTGACACGATCTAACACATTTTTACTAAATCAAATTTGAATTGATAACCATAAATAAATAAATTCGCTGTCATGAAGATTTGCATTCCTTTTAGTCACTCATGTAAGTTATGTTGTCAAGGCTTTCCGCAGAAGAATTAATAAATCATACTCGCCAGACGTGTTTTAAGCAGTGAAGATAAATCTTCATGGCGAAACAAGGGAAGACATTTTAGGACTGTCTGCTTTCTGAGATTCACAGTATTTAAGACAAGAGTGGAAAGAAAAGCTTAGTCGGCTTGTGTACACTTGAGGAATATACTGCCTTCAGCTTCCTGCAATTAAAAATGCCAAAGGGCTCTGATAAATCTATATCTTAGAGGTAACTTTGCCTCGTGACGGTGATTAACTGTTTACCTGCTGATAAAGCTTAAGAAGATCTTCCGTCTATTATAAAAAAAATGCTATTCTTGCTCTAGAATGAGTTGGTGTGCTGGTAAAGTTGCTGAATATTTTCAAGCTTTTTAGGGGCTTTCGCACCGGGTAGTTCTAGGTACTTGGTTATAGGAACTAGCCACTAGAATAGTTCCGCCGATAACTAATTCCCCCAATAGGGGCTTTCGCACCGGAGGAACCTTTTCATAGGTCCATAGGCTTCTATTGGCGGAAGTACCCAGATTTTGGCGTGTTCCCACCACAGGAACTAGGACCTATTTTAGTTCTAGGAACTCTTTTAGAGGGACTAATTGAGCTCCTACTTCAGAGTCGGGTCTAAACCAGCGCTATAGGAACTATCCGTGACGTTAGTGTATGCTGATTGGCCGAACTCACGCAAAACACCAGCACCCGCCATTTTTAAAAAGCCGTGTAAACACACAGATTATAGCCTATATATTTACACCACAAACTAACTCTACGAACATGGAAAACTGATAGATGGGCCTCTTAACCTTTACGCTGAGGAGAAAATCCAACGCAACTCTGAGAGGACCAAGCGAAACATGATTATGTATTTCTGCTCCGCTAGCGGCACTGTACATCAACCACACGGCATATGCTAATACCTTTTCATTACTGTCTACTTTCTATGCATAATAGTTCTATCTAATAACATATTAGACAGGACTGTTAGACAGATCGTATACTAATGAACACGGAGAATGCGAGCATTGTTTGTTTGCTCAGGCTCTGGCCTTTCTCAGCGACGTCAAAATAAAGATCCGCCGCGCAGTCAAAATAAGTCACAACAACAAGCGTGGATTAAGTCACTTCAGAGTTCCTGCTGGCGGTGCGAATGCAACCAGAAAACGTTCCTAGAGGAACCATTAGTTCTCGGGGAACCATCCTGGTGGTTAGTTCCTAGAACTACCCGGTGCGAAAGCCTCTATTGCTGCAGACAACAGGTAAATGCCGTTATCGCTGTTTTACATGTCCGTGGAGTATATGTTTACACAGTTTAAGGATGTTAAATGTGGCAAATCAATGTACATTATGTCACTGGTAGTTCCTATAATCCTGGGTTAGACCCTTATCTGAAGTAGGAGCTAAATTAGTTCCTCCAAAAGGACTTCCTAGAACTAAAATCGTTCCTAGTTCCTGTGGAGCGAACACACCAAAAAGTGAAAAATGACTTTTAAAAGCGTATTAGTAAATGTTGAAATGTACATGACATCAGATTAATAAATGCTGTGGAAGTATTGTTCAGCTTTGTGTGATAAATAGACCTGAATTAAATTGCAACTTTCTGAAAATCTTCTCAAACGTCATTTGCACTTGCACATGTTCAAACATCAAGGTTCGACTTCAGTGAGATCAACAGCGTTTAGTTCTCATGGGTCTCCTGTTTGAATATGCAAACGAGTTTCAAGGAATTACAAATGAGAGTTGTGAAAAAAAGGAAAGATTTTTAGTGATTACTGACTTCTGTCTTTTACTCTCACAAATCTACTGCATTGCTTCAGGCGACTTCTAATAAAGCGCATGAGTCATATGAATGAATTATGATGCTTTACTATGTTCCATGGAGGACATCGTCATTCAGACATGAGGACAAACATGTTTAGAAACGCTCGAGGAACAGCGATGACACCGTTTTCATTTTGGGTGAAACTAAACCTTTAAAAAGCCGTCATGGCTGAAACCGCTCGGCTCTAGACTCAACAACAAGAACCCTGATGCAAAATAAACACTCATAATTTTCACACCAAACTTGAGGCGTCTGTATCTAAGTTTGTGAATCATCCACCAGTACGGGAAAGTGACAACGTTACCTCGGAGAACACATGAAAAAATCATCCCCTCAGTTTGACACTACCAAAATCAACACCCTCTCGCATTAAGCAAGTGGTGTCCAAGGAGTGTTTTCATGTGTTTTATAGAGGTGTATCCCTGTGTTGTCCTCTAATTCATCCTCCCGTGGGTCCACTCTCTCACCGTTTCCATCTACTCCTTGTAAACCCTCCCATCTGAGCTTCAGCGTCTCACGCATCCGTGTAGTTTGGCAAGGAGGGCAGTTTCTGTGCGCCGGTTGGGCAGCCCCAGTGTGGCTTGTTTTTTTGTGCCGGTGCAGTCTAGACGTGTGAATGTGTGCGGCGTGTGGAGAGGCAGCAGATAAGACGGCCCTCGGTGTAGTGGGGGAGGCACGCAGGAGATCAGTCTGAAAAGAATGAGTGGGGGAGGGTGAAATGGAGGGAGGAAGGGGGTGGGGAGCTAAAGGTGTGTGTGTGTGTTGAGGAGAGAGAAAGAGGCAGAGAGAGAAAGAGGCAGAGAGAGAGAGAGAGAGAGAGAGAGAGAGAGAGAGAGAGAGAGAGAGAGAGAGAGAGAGAGAGGGTGGGTGGAGAGTGCTCAAGCTATTGATGGTGAAAGAAGGGAGGGGTTAGAGAATGAGCAAGCGCCGGAGAGAGCCGAGGGAGGGGTGTGTGGGTAGAGCCTCTTCTCAATGAGGAAGCGCCAGAGCCATTTTCACTGTTGAGTAAGAGCACGCTGTTCTCGGCGAACGAGTGAGAGAAAGAAAGTGCGCATTCTGGGTTTTACTTCGCTCGTTCCCGCTCTCCCCCGCTTTCTGGCGCCCCGCTGGAGGTGGTTTGTGTGAGAGGCCTCGGGTGGACACACAATGGGGCGAAGTGCCTGTGGCAACTGGGCCGTTGTGCTGCTGACGGGGGGAGGGTGTCGAGAGCCGACCGGCGCACAGAGCTAACAGATCCAGCCGGCCTCAGGCCTCTGCGCCTCTCTCTCACACACTCGCCCGCCCGCCCGCGAGACTGCGATCAGAGGCTTCTCAGGAACCGCGAAACCTTTCTCTCAGGACTATGGTGGACTAACTATGGATTAACATGTATTTGGCGCAGTGGATTTTGGGACACATACGTCAGAACTGGAGATTTGAGAGCGAGAGGTTACTGTGTTTTGGGATCGAGTGACGAACTTTTCTTGCCTTTAGTTCCCTTTCTGTTTTGCTTTTGATTTCCATATAAATGGATTACAAAATGCATTCCAAGTCCAATGATTTGCTGGATTTTCAGACGCTGGATGCCCTTTTGGAAAAAATTGCACATTGCTCTGTCCCTGTTAAAAGGTAAAACTGATCAGCTTTTTGTGAATTTGCTTCTCTGAACATTACACACAACTAATCACCAGTGCTGTTTGCTTGTCTAGTATCTCTTTTTGTTGCTTGCTAGCTTGTAGTTTACTCCTGGCGAAGTTAATAATCATAGACTTTAAGATTTTGTTGTAGTCTTTTGGTTTGTATTACTAGTTTTTTTGTATTATTTTATAGTCGTCACTTTGTCGGGTCAGTAATATTTTTTAATATTGTCCTTGACCTTGAGTGGGATTTTTTTTCCCCAGAATGGCCTCAAAATTGTGTTTTAAAGGGTGGCATTGTTGGTAAGAAAGCTAAAAGCCCCGAACAGGCAGCCTCCCGGAGGGACGGAGGGGGTGTGTGAGTAAGCAGGGGGAGGGGGTGGGTTTTTCAGAGGAAGAAGGGGGTGGTGTATTTGTTGTGGCAGAAGGAGAGGATTCAGCCGGCTATGATTTAGCAACTTTAGTGAGAGTTCATCTTAGACTCACTGCAAATAAGCATATTTAAACGATTATGACATTATTTGGCTCACTGCAGATATTTCAGGTCTTTTTTAGACCCTGAAATACATCTGGGAGAAAAAAAGTTAGATGTAGATGTTTCCTAATGCTGAAAGTATATCTGTTTTTAGTTGGCAACATTCAAATGCTTCACAAGGTCTGCATTTAATATAGGGCCACTTTTCTCTTAGGAAGTTTGTCCTTGTTTTTTTTTTTTTTTATCTATTTCTGTGCTGGTCTTAGAATGGACTGATTAAGTTCCTAACGTCCTTCGCTTGCTTAACCAGACAAAATCCTTCAGGTGTACTTAGTAAAGCAACTCAATTTGCTATATATTTTTTAAATGGATGATCTAGCCTGGTTTTGCTGTACTAATGTTGCGTTTTAGTAAATGAAAGCGACTAAACACTCCCATGAAACTGTACCTACTGAATATTCTTCTACTAAACCTCTTAGCATAACAAACGGCCTTGAGACTTGTGAAAGTGTCACATGCGAGCTGGACATTCCCACCCTGAAGTTTGAGTCGTGAGAGGCATGTGGAACAGTTGCATTGGAAAAAAGTTCTCCAGTCACATTGCGCACATGCCTACCGTGTGCTGCGCTGCCAGTTCGCTCCTGGCTCCGTTCTCCAATAGACATTTGTTAGACCCTGTTCTGAGTCGTTTTAGGTCACTGATCAAAGCGCTAGAACAAACACAACATGGCACAGCAAATGTTCAAGCAAGGAAAAAAAACACCTCTGTTTTGTTTGTCAGAGGTGCCCATGGAGTCCCTGCTGATGTTTGTACAGATTAGTTCCCTCCACGTCGAGAGCAGTTTGTAACACACGAACACAACAAGTTAGACTGTTTTACTTATTTCTGCTGGCAGTTGAGGCGGCTATGAAGCCTGAGATGTAGGGAAGAACAGCTCCCAGGAGTGCTGGCGAGACAAAAGTGTGAAAGAAGAGAGGGGAGATGGATGAGGGAGGTGGGACTATTGGCCTGAGCAACAGACTCGGTACAGTTTCATTTATTATTTATGCAAATGCTTTCAAGCAAACAAACCTGCTGCCCCAGTCCTGTACCCAGACCTCCACTGGGAGCCTGGAGCTTTCTGTCCTGAGAAACTCCCAGTAAGCATTAATGATTAATTGTTTACTTTCGTTAGGGATGCAGTCATTTTGTTTGCCGTCAGTTTTTACACCCTCCCTTTGATGCGTCACGCTTGGGCTTGGCCTGCCTGTAGAACCAGATTTCCTGGTGAGCGCGCTCGGGTTCACAGTAACCAGAGCTACTTCCTCCCTCACACACACATTCCACAGTGGTATGCAATGATCTGTGTCCAGTTCAGAGGTCAACTTTTATTCCTCGGGGTGTTTGGGGCAGGAAGTTTAATGGCCCAGGACAGACACTGCTGCAGTTATTAGGTGTGTTTAACTTGAAGCGGCGCTGCGCAGACCGATCGGTGTATGGCATCAAAGTACCGCGAGTGCGATTCGAAAGCATAAAGCCGTCTTGTCATCGGTCCTCGCAGCAGCGTTTCAAGTCAAACACAACTTGTGTCACTCCTTGGTGGTCATGGGAGTTTGGTAGGAAATAGGGCTGCGCGATTTGGGGAAAATGTCATATTGCGATTATTGAGGTCAATATTGCGATTTGCGATATAATAAACAAATGGTTTCATGAGTCAACTTGCTAGGTTCTAAAGCAAAATGCACACACAGATTATTGATAATTCTGAAATGTGTATTTCTCAACTCAAACTAGCAACAACAACTAAATGATTGATAGCACCTATAATGATCAATAAGCCATTGATGTCTGGATAAAAATTTATTTAATTTTAATTTAAGTGAACTTCAAACAATCCTCACATAAACCCATAATAAATGTCATATTTACCTGTGCTCTTCCTGTCTACAGGTAGGACATATACATAAATTGAATAAAGTTATCAAACAGTCTGCGCTGCATAAATTATAAATTATATGCACTAAAGTCCTATTTAAAGCTACACAAGTTCTTTGGTCAAGAGCAGTGAGTGTTTTTCTCTGTTCCCTTTGTTCTTTGATTAACTTTACTGACAGAAAGCATTATTGGATGCTGGCCCTTTAAGAGTTGCTGACAGAGACGCGGATCTCACACGCGCCTTATTCTCTCACAACTCTTTACGACCATCACAAGACTGCTCTTATGTTGTGAAGACACTCGACAAATGATATTTTGGCATAATTGTGTGTGTTATTGTTCGTTCACTTCAAGCGGAAAGAGAACTGTATTCTGGCCGCGGTCTGTGCATGCGCATGATACTGGCGCGCGTCTTTCAGTCAGGACATTCACAGGCAGCACGCTCTCTTTTGACTTGTCTCGCTGAATGGTTTAAAGCATTCGCATGAATAAGAGCGGGATCATGTAACTAGCCAAAGGATAACGAAAAATAACAGATGCTGCGTTAACAGCCCTAATTTGTTCATTTCATAAAAAATCGCAGTATTTTGCGTCATATAATCGCATAGGCTTGACATCGCAATTATGATTGCGATATGATTAATCGTGCAGCACTAGTTGGAAAGGTTCATAAAGTTCACATTCTTATTAGTACTGCAACCAACCTGGTTTCTGTGGTGTTCTTAAATCCGTAAGGCACAGTGGCACCTGTTGTGTGGCAGAAACATAAGCTGTATTCAATTACACTTAGTTAATGATGTTGAGCAGAGCCTATGAGCAATGAAGAATTTCACAGTGTGCAATTTCAAATTGACAGTTTACAAATTGCTGCTAAGTTGTCCAAAGGTAAAGACGTTGTAAGGTTATATTTGCACATTTATTGATTTTATTATTTGTTGTGGATTTTAACCAGGCCTGCGCTGGAAACATTTTCACAAAAGTTTCATGTGAACAAATTCAGGCTTTTGATAATGGTGGATTTAACAGACCAGGCACTTCTTTCTGGAGATTGGTAGTAGATAGCTATACCATTTACTATTCTGAATGGCCGTTTCAAAAGCCATTGAACACGAAGTTTGCATAAACAAGTTAAATTAATGTGATGATAGTTAGACTCTTGACGCTTAGCCTCATTTAGAATAGCAATTGGATGTCAAGGCTAATGGAATAAAGTTCAATAAAGTCAAATGACACTATCAGACAAAATGTAAGAACAACTGAAACCACAAAAATGCAGAAATCACTCTCGGTGGCCTTCTAAACGTGTCAAGTTGAAATTTTCTGCACGGAAATTTTATCTTAAATGTATTTCATCATAAAGAGTAAGAAAATGTGCATTAAAGCTCAAGCTGTGAGGTTACACTTATACACTGCTGGATAAAGGTTGTGTGGAAACCCTTAAGATGGTTTAGGCTTGTTTTATGGAGATAGCTATCCTGCATGCTGTCGCTAGTTAGAATACTCTAAAGTCATTAACATCAAAACGAGGTTAAGAACAAAATCATGTGCGTACACGCGTGTTGTGTAATAGGTGACTTTTTTTGTGTGAAAAAGTTTAAGTATGAATAATTCACCATGGTTCGTCCAAACCAGCTAGATTACTGACTGTCGTAAAATAGTCTACCGTTGCTAAACTGCTGGATGTGCTTGATAATAGTTATTAAAGTGCACCATTATGCTTTTTCAGATATTTGCACCATTATGCTTTTTCAGATGTTCAGCTAAGACCCCTTCATCATGTGGATAGCAATATTTATACATTGGATTTAAAAGTTCACAGACTTTAAAGGAAATCGAACCGTATACCAAAAACTCAGCGAGGTCAACTCGGGATTTAGCAAAATGCTTCTCCATTAAAGATGGGACAGTAACCACTTTATTTGGACCAACTTACTCCCGAGCAGTGTTGTGTAACGCGTTACAGTAACGTAACGTAACTACTATTTCAGGTAAAAAGTATTGTAACGCGCTACTACTGAACGTTTGGTAACAAAACGCAGTTCCTTTTTCAATTCGGCGAAACGTTACTTTTCCCAGGGACAGATTTGACAGCGATCTCCGTCATTTGACAGATTTGACAGCGATCGCCATCTCCGTAGTCAACGTCTACAGAGAGAAATGCACATAATGGATTACATAATCAGAGAGTAGCCTATTTATTTTCGTTTTGAATTGTTTAGTTTAAAGACATTTCAAGCTTTCTATATATAGATATATTTCTCATGTCTGTGAGGCATACGCTGAGTTTCGTTTAATTTATGATGAGATGCGCTCCAGTTCACGCGCAACAAGTGACCGCGCCGGCGCCTCCATGTCATGATTATATTGTCTGCTATATTTGCTTCTTATTTATTAAATCCAGGCAATTGGCTGATTAAAAAATGTATTAAAATTAGGATACAATTTATACAAAACGAAATTCACTTTAAAGAAAGGCTTTCTTCAAAACAAAACTTAATGAAGTGGTCAAAATCATGTCTGACCGAATGTCTCCCGATAAATTGCGCATCCATCTTACTCATGCTGTTCACTTTTCATAATCAACATAGATGGAAAAAAATAA